ACATTTCTCAATCTTAAAAATATTGCAACATCATACCATATGTTTCATTTTTATCTTATTTTTAGAATTTTTTTTCCTATCTAAGATATTGATCATTCATCACTAGATGGTTATTAAAAGGATTATTGGAAAGATAATCATTAAAAGGACAGTATGATGCACAAAACATCTCCTTTCACAGAGGGTTCGGGGAAGAGCCACACCATAAGGATGTGATGTAGACTTGTGATCTATAGGTCACACAAGGATAATTTTACGGTTACTCTGACACTCTCCAAAGATAATAATTTAAAAGGTTCTTTTACCGCTGTATGGTATTGAAGTTGTACAGGGGGATTCAAACACGAATCTTTGGTTCAAACAAAAATTGTTGGGATTCAAACACGAAATCTTTGGTTCAAACAAAAATTGTTGGAGGAAAAAAATAAATTATTTACACTTAGCTACTTAGCTAGCATTGGCTAACACGTTAATCTTTTATATTTAGATCGATCTTTATTAATAGTCAAGATATACTTTGCAAAGATTATGTATATAGTATATCATTGGAAATAAAAAAAAGAAGTTATATTCATTTTATTTTTCAAATTCCTATAAAATTGTCTTTATGGTTTTAAAAGCTACGAATTATATCACGTAAAATTTAATCAACTTGAAAATCTTTCTATTTGTTGAAATAATCTAACCGTAGTGAAAGCATAACAACACTTTTCACTAGAATAAAAGTTCCAAATAGACAAAATTAACAATTTATTGAAATCGCGATTTAATCACATGACAATATCTATATAAAACTTCATGCTTGTTAGAGAATTTTTATACAATTTATCCTAACTATAGAGTATGTTCGGATTCAATTAGCAATGCATATGGTCTTGGACACTTAATTAAACTCTTGACGTGCGGTATCTACCTTCACCTTATTCTGCTCTCCTTAGCCGCAAAGGGTCAGTGAGGTCGACCTCGATCAATGAGATAGTTAGCATTTTCTTCGATAATTCTAAATAGTCGTTGTCACCAACCTTATATATAATTATTTTAAAAATATTTTTTCTTTTTTCATTTGCACATATAAAAAATGTTTATAAATAAGAAAGTGCTACCATTACACTGTAGTGGCCACCATTAGGCCTCAAAAAATTTGACAACTAATGAAAAAAAGTCAGAAGCAAGATTATAAAGAGTAAAATATATATAAAAAAGAATCTCTTAAATAATAAAAAATAAACTTAAAAAAATGTTTAAAATAATTTATCATTCCTAATATAATGGGATACTTCTGGTTATGAATGACCATTAATTCATTGCCATTGAATTGATGAAAATGTTGCTTTAACATCTTTTTTCCTTTGTGATGATTAAAGAGGAGTCAAACCTAATTTTCATTTTTAGGGTTTGAATCCATTTAATTTCTTGAAATGTTTTTGCACTTACAAATTCAAGAAAATACATTTGTTCACTTGAAATAAAAAATTCAAAATTTCCCAATTCTTTTATTTTGAGTTTCTACACATAATCAAATGATTGATTTTAGATGAAAATATCATATTCTTGATTATTTTTTTCACCTAAGTTGGGATCATGTCCACAAAGGTGAAAGGCCTTCTTAAAGGCCTTAGGTACATTTCTCAAGTTTTTGGTAAGTAAATTAATTTTTTTTTCAATTATTTCACATTTTCATTTGGGGGTAATTTTTAGATTATTCTAGAAAAATAGTTGTTTTATGACATCGTGAAATAGTTGAATTAACGATATATGAATCTTTCGTATTCATCATTTATGAGTGTTTTTTATATTCTTGAAAGGAGTGAAGATTGCGTAATTGTTTTGTAACGGTGTGAAATAGTTGAAAATAAACTATATGAATCCTTCCTAATCACGATTTCGGGGTACATTTAGATTATTGAAAGTGATTGTTTTGTGAAAAAGTTTGAGATAAATTATAGAAATCCTTGATATTCATCATTAAAGGGTAATTTTATTTAATAAAATGATTGTTTTTTATGACGGAGTGAATAGTTGAGACAGACTATATGAATCTTTGATATTCATCATTTGTTAGTATTTTTAGATTTTTGTAAAAATAACTGTTCTATGACGATAAAATAATTGAGATAAACTATATAAATTCTTCATATTCAGTCATTTGTATTTTTAGATACTTGAAAATGAACATAGTATATGACTAGTGAGCTAATAAGAATGTTAATTAGTTGAAATATTTTAATAATCGAGTATAGCTCGATTTTCAATAAGTTTTGAGATCGTCTATATGAATCATTTATATTTATTTTATTATTTGATGCAGATGAGGATAAAGAAAAAGATATACAAATTGGTTTTCCAACAGATGTAAAACATGTTGCACATATAGGATGGGATGGTCCATCAGTTGATAATCCAAGCTGGGTAAATATATACATATTTTTCTATTTGTCCTATTTTTGGTATTTATCGATTTTTATTTTATTTAAATTACTAAATTCACTAAAAGTGATGTATTAAATCGATTCTTTTTTAATGAATAAATCAAATTTTGATTTTTCTTTTTGATCTACTATTTGATTCATTATAGTCGCTATAAGAAATATACTGAATCGAACTACTGATTCACCAGAGTCATTAAAAAAGTATGTTAAATTGATTTTTTTTTAAACTAAACATTTATCTTATCTTAATGCTTGATTCACCATAATTATTGTTACAAGAAATATATTGAATCGATTCTTTTTAATAAATAAACTCGATTTTTTTATTGTGTAATCACCAATTTTTTTTTTATTATTTTTGACAGATGAAAGAATTTAAAGCACCAGGAGCATTTCAATCAGCACCTTTAATGCCTCCTCCTGGAGAACATAAAGAAAATCCTGATATTAAATGGGTTTCTGAAGGTGTGTTACATTTTGTTTTGCTCCTTTTATGACTTATTTTTTCGATGTAAATTTAAATTAGTCGAATCAAAACTCATGATGTGTTAATTAGACACACGTCATGAGATCAAATTATATTTTCTTTAAAAAACTTGTATCAAGTGTAGAAGGATAAAAGGGCGAATCCTTTTATTCACCGAGTTTCGAATCATATGACTGACCCTCAAGGATATCTTAATTATATATATATATATACACACACATGCGTGAAAAATATGAATGGTACATAACAAGGAACTAACGGTCAAAAACACACCAAACGTAGATATGTAAGTTTTCTACCTTAACTATCTGTTGTTCACTTTAATTTCCAACCTGAAATAGGATATAATCGTTCAGGATAGGTAAAGTGAACAACTGATATTTGAGGTATGTTTTTCAATGAATGTTTGGTGATAGTTTAGGTAGGAAACTCACGCACCTGATAGTTCAGATAAGAAACTAAAAAAAAAAAACGAGATACTTTAGATGTGTTTTAAACCCTAATTTAACTCTTGAAAGAAGATATGTATCATATAAAAGTACACCAACTCGAAACTTTAAATATTAGATTCACGTCGTGTTTTGCATTCTTTTTTACGCAATATGTTTCATGCAAATTGTAGATTCAAATAGAAGGTCAAGAAATGCAAATTCTTCACCACCCAAAGAAAAACAAGAGAAGCCAAGAACATCAAGGAGACATTCCACAACAGAAAATGGAAGCAATGAAAACTCTACAAACAAAGAGCCTGGAACCAAATCAAGGGGTTCAAGGAGACATCATAACAAGGACACGGCCGATGGGACCAAATCGAGTGATTCCTCGAGCAAAAACAACCCCGATATCCCTAAAAAATCGCGAAGAAAGAAGTCAAAGGAGGATGGTGGCTTGAATCGACCATCAAAATCTAAAGGCACAACACAAATTACAGAGTCAGGTCCTAAATCAGAAAATGAAAATAGTGAAATTTCTAAAGAAAAATAAGAGGAGCGAAAAAAATAACAACAATGTAATGTACTTAAAAAGTTTACATTTTTTTTTTGGCAGCTTAGTGAATTGCAAAACTATTTTTGAGACGACACAAAAGTTTATCATTCACAATTTGTAGAGTGTGTATTGTTAGAATGTGTACAATCTAACTTTTTTGATACTGTGTGTTTTCTAGCTTGCATGAGTCGATAGGTCAACGAAGGGAATATATATACATATACATATATATATATATATGAGATAGAAGATAATTTTGGGAGATATCTATGAGTCGATAGGTTAATAAAGAGCATATATAAGAAAAATCACAAACGTCAGGGCATTTTGGTCCTTTTTGTTGAAATATAGGTTTGAAAAGTTATTCATATTTTGGCACATTAGTGAGTTTCACAGCTAAAGTTATATTTGTATGATATGTAAGTCATGAGTTCGAATCGTGAAAACAATCAATAATACTTATACTTAGATAGACTATATACGTCACAAATTTTACGAGAATCATGGATGCAAATGATAGTGATGATAATTGAATTTTATAATTTTTAAAAATAATTCAATTATCATCACTATCTAGTCAACTGCCATATAGATAAAACTTAATTTTTATGTGAAATCAAATAATTACATATATTATAAAAATAAAAATGTGTAAGATGTCAACTTCTGAAAGTCAGATTAATATTGATATGATATTGTGGCTTTCTTGAGAACTCCCATATTTAATTATTAAACATTCCTTATTTTTGTTTATATACTAGACACTATTTAAAGATACAAGAATTGTTGAAAAAATTTTTGTTACAGTGCCCGAAAGATATGAAACATGTATAATTACCTAGGAAAACACACAAGATCTGTCCAAAATTATTTTGGCAAAATTGTTAAATTTTTTGATGGCACAGGAATAACGGAGGCTTATGAGGCAAGATGGAATGGTTGAAGGAGCGTTAGTAGTCAGCCACAAAACTCAAATAAAGGTAAATTTTTGAAAAATAACCACCTTGTCAGCACTGCGGAAAAGATTGACATCCTTCATATTAATGTTGGAAAAGACCAGATGCACAATGGAACATCTGCAAACAACTTGGTCATGAAGTTGTAATTTGCAAAAATAAAATTTCCAAAGGATGAAACAACTGTCCAAATTTGATTTTTGGATAATTGATAATGGTTGTACAAATCATATGACATATAAAAGAAATCTTTTAAAGAGTTTATTCCTATGAAAAACTAGTTATGAACACGTGTTTCGCACATGAGTCCTCTAAACACATTATTACGATATGAGTTATATATGTCAAAATCAAATTGTGATGATTATCACAAACTATTTTTTAAAAACACACAATTTAAAATAGATAATATTGTGTGTCAGATGATTAGACAATCAATTAATCTACAAGATTTGAACAACACAACTTCATTGAGTAATTAAAATTAAAACCAAATTAAATTTTATTGATATTAGGTCCAAACATGTAATATATTATTGTAAACAAAAATGATTAAATCATTCTAATTTGATTGCAGAAGGAAATTTCTACATACGTTACACACGATAGTTATCCGCAGTATATCATTCAATCATGTAATATATTATTTTGAACTTTTAAAAATATATATAAGCAGTGATTCATATATATACATACATATATATATATACACTAGAGAGGTAGTACGGGCCCAACATATAAGTTGATTTGTTCTCCGTAATTAATAAAGTATGCTAAATATTATTCAGATATATAACACATAAATTGTAAGGGAACAATTTATTCAAGTTATGTAGATGTATTAGTGAGAGGTATGATCAAGTAAGCAGAGACATAAATTCTATTGACTCTAGCATATGCAAACTATAGACAATGTCACCAAATCATCATGTAGTAGGACTAAAAAAATGTTAGCACAACTCGTGCTCAAAGTTGTTATGAACATTCTGCATTTACAGTTTATCATTCATATTGTATTGGTGTCAACAACTTCTGAACAATCCAATGTACTATGGAGAAAATCAACTCACTATATGTTGTTCCTGAAAATTATTGAAAAGTGAATACAGCAGAAATAAGTCGATAAAAGTTTCTGTTAAAGTCTATCAATTTTACTATTTTCCCAAATAGAGGATATAGACAACAAAAAGTAAGTTCCTTTTAAGAGTCTATTCCTTCTTTATCTGCTTGAACAAGTCATGTTTTTGTGTGACCTACAAATACCTTTTAGAGTACGCATCTGCTCAAGCCATCTCTTGGCAAAATTGGGATAGAAGTGAGACACAATCTCTATTGAAGATGAATTCATAAGAAGGTAATTTATAGATAGATTTATTTTCATTGTACTTTAGTATGCTATTTGTTTTACAATGCTCAACAAAAATGCTATTTAAATTACTGCACTTAGACATTGTAGCTTCTATATCTAACAAAATGATAAGAACCTTATAAGTTCAAGCAAATTAAAGATAATGATACAAAGGAATGGGTCAGATGTGCTTTGGCATTATCCTTACCTTTAACATTGATAATTTGAGTGTCTGACTTAGATAAAAACATGTTATAGCTACGTTTTATCCTTTCATTTCAATTTACTACTCGTAACTTAAGATTTTCAATTCAATAAATAAATAATTGAATAAGAATTTTTAAAGCAAAACTTGTCCCATTAAGGAAATGAATATCACCTAAATCATTTCCAAACATCATTAATCTCTTACTTTATGATCATCCTCTCAATTCTAGCATATTGTAATTATGAAGACGATAAAGTATCATGTTTTGATATCGTCTCCCAGTTTGCTAATACATCAGAAGTTGCAATTCAAACAATACAAAAATAACAGAAGAAATTTAGATCATACTAAAAGCATAACTTCTATCTAAGAATAACTACTAAATACTAAAACAACATCATCCAAAATAGAACACTATGGTTCCCTACAAATCTTAAAGCTTGAAAAAAGGGTGTAAAATTGTACTTGTAGGCTTGAAAATTAGAGAATCTGAAATCAATCATTTTTCTTGGTTTTTCTTGATCACTTACCTCACTCGGCAGTATATTTGTTAAAGCGAGTAAGGATCCAGATGTTCTAATTGGCAAGTATATCACACATTTTTGAATTACAAAGGAGTCAAATATAATAGTACACATAGTATCTATTAATACAAAGTTAAGGCAAAGTACCAAGGATTTGGTAACTCTTCATCTTCCATGACACGGGGACAATTAGAACAAATTCCTAAAAAATGGTTGGACATATAAGTGTATATATATATATATAAAATCTTTCCATCCATATCCACATTTTTTTACATATAAATTAAAGATAATCACCAAAAAAAGTAAAACTTACTTAATTGAAGTAGCACTATATACATTCTTAATATCTTGCCCCTTTCTTTCATAATTAGTTAGCAATGAAGTTAAAAGCATTTCATTAGCATCCTAAAAATATATTATTTTAATATAAAAGGACAACACCGTGGTTGGTCATAATGTCTTTTGTGGATCTGGGGATATGATGACACAATTGTCAAAATGAAGCATCATAAGCTGCTAAATTATATATAAAAGAAATTCAAAAATTTATTCGCAGATAAAATCATAACATCAAGTAGCATTAGATAGTTGAAAGTAAGATATTTCAACTTACAAAATTAATTAAGCAAAGCTTGAAGAAACCGTTAAATTGAACCTTTGATCAAATAAAGAGAACTAACTGAAACGAGATAGGAAACGGATAAAATAATGTATTAAAAGAAGATTTCCTTGTTCGGTGTAAAGTAATTTTATACAATACCCATTAAATGTCGTGGTGCTGCAAAACACAAGTATGTGACTTCTTCAGCTGTCGTGCCATGCCCAAGTGCTATTTTTCTTCCATCATCTGAAACAAAATACAATTAGTTTAAAAGAATCACGTCCTCTTATATGTTATCCAAATATCACTTTCATATAGCCTTGTAAAGTTGTATATATACCATTCACAAATTTTTACCCAACATTTAATAGTAGGTCCATTCTCAGCCTCGATAAAGTCCATCTTGTTGCAATAGGAATGAACAACAATATATTTTCATAAACACTTCATGAGTAAATTATTTTTTTCCTTCATCTATTTATTTCTAGGGCTACTATTTTCTTGTCTAATGTGACATTGTCCCACTTTATTAGATGTATTGCCTTGTTCTGTCTGTTTCTTTATCATTTTTCCCACTTCTCATTCTGTCTCTTTCATAAAACTTGTATGTCATATTGATAGCACGGGGAAGACATACATCAAATAAATACTACTTCCTCCGTTTCGTTTAAAAAAGAATGACCTAATTTGACTTGAAACAGAATTTAGGAAAAGAAAGAAGACTTTATAATATCGTGGTTCTAAATTAAAATTATGTCAAATGTAACTACCATTTAATCTTGTACATCTTAAACATTTGTAGTCTTAAACATGTCAAACCACGTGAAAAGTTAAAGTTAAAAGTGTTGCCAAAAAAGGAAAGGCGTCGTTCTTTTTTAAACAAACTAAAAAGAAAATATGATCATTTTTTTTAAACGGAGGGAGTACTATATATTAATTAGCACTATATTTCTTTCCATAGTTTAAAAATTTCTTGCCTAAGTTAATATAGAATTAGGCAACATAATTAAAATGTCAACACTTAGTCTATTTGGCCAAAAAAAGATAATTTCCAATTTAACAACAATATCATCATATTGAATCATCACTTGAATCTAAATGCGAAATTCAGTAGACAAAACAGTAAGGAGTTAAAATTTGAAACTTATAGCACCACATGCTGCTACCATCAGTGCATTTCCTATAACTATGAAATGCCAAAATAATATTGATACATAGCTTATAATTTTGTATCTCAAAGAAATGATAGAATTTACTCATTCAAATGGAGAAACAGAATATGCGCTATGCACGCACCTTACAGTCAGCAGAAGAAATCATATCATTCGTATCATTCTTGACACAATCCAAAAACTGAAGGCATACTGCGTGCGGCCTGCAAGAAACAACAAAAAGAACATAGCAAAAGATCACTTGATATATCATTGTGAAAAATAAATATAAATGCATAAAATTAGAAGTGTTTTACAATCGTTTGTAACATTAATAATGTCATCCAACATGAGTCATACATTAACTTTCTTTTTCACATCTATCAAACACCTCCCGGAGGAGCAAAAATAATTAATTTGGAAGACTATTTCAAAATTTTCTATAGATTCATGGACATTATCTATTTAATTTACATGGAATAACAAAAAATCATTTTGCAAGAAATAAGAAACAAAAGAGTTGATGGTAAAAAGCTCCTAAAGTGTCCTTATATTTTAGTTTCATTATTGAAGTACACCGCCAACTATTTATCAAAACACCCATCAACCATAGAAAAACACTTCTCCTAGGTGAATCGATGATTGATATTTCAGCTAAGAAACTCAGACACACACATGATAGTTTAGATAAAGTTTTCAGCCATCACTCCAAAAACAAATAAGCAAAAAAGCAAAAACGGCAAATATGACTTTCCTGTTTTGATATACCTAATTCCACTTGTTTCTAATATCCTTGTATAGTTGGTTGTGGAGATTATCAAATTCACCAATTTGACAATTATCACATGAAGGCACACTAATCTGACAAAGAGTTGTGCACCATAAATGGGTGACTATGTCGAGTTGATGTGATTTCTCTATGTCTGATTCAAAATTTTGAGAGAATAGTAAGTGATAATGCAATTATATTTGACCATATCATTTTCATTTCTTCATATTTTTGTTGCTACAGACTCACTTGTCACATGTAATTTTTGGGCATTTCTTCGTATTCAGCAAACAGAGGTATATATATAAATGCATTTTCTAAGATCAAAGGTCCTCCATCAGAACCATATACAGAAATAGATTTATATAAAGCGAAGATGCTGAAAGCATTAGTTTCTAAAGTAATCCAAATCGATAATTCAAGTTTAGGTATTTGTGCTCAATTTCTATCCTTTTCTTTCTTCTCCAAGTACATGCAAAAGGCTACATAAAAAATTACAAATTGAAAGAACACCCACATCCAAAACAAAGCGGAAGAAACACTACATTTCAATAACAAAAATTACCAAAAAAATTGAGATACAAAATAGAGAAAGTAGAAAACGGAAGCAACAACAACATCCAATCAAGTTTTTACCACAACTTGAAAAAATTTGAAACCCATCAAATGAAAAAATTGAAAAAGATTCAGACTCATCAAATGAAAAAATTGACAAAAGGTGATCAATCATAGACTAAAAAGAGAAGAAAAAAGGTAAGAGGCAATGCATACCTAAGATGACTCAAGTTTTCCTGAAAATTTCAAATGAAGTCTTCGAGTCATTTCACAAGAGTATTTGTTCTTAAAGTCCACATGAAAGGGTACTTGTTGGGTTGTACTTGGTCTAAACGTAAATAATGGAATAACAAAATAAAGTAGTACAATTTAACTTTTTTGTGGTACAACTTAAATATATATATATATATATATATATGGAAAATAACTAAAACGCTTACATAATAAGATTTAGCTACATATATATCAAACATTTATATCTTTTGTATGAATTGTTTTTATACATGATGTATTAACACCTTGAGTTTGAAGGGAGAGATTTACTGCCTTACATCCCAAATTCTGTGAGAGTCTTGGTTAATCGAGAGTCAATTAGATTAATTTTACGAAGCTAAATTGGATCAATTTAACTCAATATTATAAAATAAAAAAATAAATATTCAAAAAATTATACAAGAAGTATTATAAGTTGTAATTTTAACATATTCATTAAAGTTCATATGATTTAAATTTCAAGAAATGAAAAATATCAGACTAATTGAGGCGGAGAAACTATACTTTTTCAAATATATGTGAATTATCATAACAATTTAGTATTTGATGTTGTAACATTATTCTATTCTTCCTACCAGATTATTGCGAAAGCTCTTGTGAATCTTGTTCTGCAATCAAATAGGTTTTACAATTGTAATAAGAAGAAAACATGAATAATGATGAAATACGGAAAAAGTAACAAAAATTATAAACCCAACATAATATTTTTAAACGATGCAGTTCTTAAGTTGTAGGTCTTTTTGGGCATTTATACAAATAAGATATAAAGCAAAACAATAGGAAGAAGAATGAAAAAAAAGAAGAAGAGAAACTAAATAAATAAAAAACCTAGCTTTTAAGAGTGTGTATTTATATTTTTTCCATAAATATATAAGAATATTGTTTAATAGAAAATAATAGTATTTATTTATAATTAATGTGTACATTTTTGTTCATCAATATAATGACATTATAAGGACATTTTGATAATTCAACTTTTGACTTGGAGGCTTCCCAACTTATAATATAATATGATATGCTGAAGACAAAACAATGTCAGTTTAGGTTTATACATTATAAGAAATATGAATTAGTTGATATTTAGGGTGGAAAAAACTTGAAAATGATACTTTTTTTTTCTTCATATTTTGACATTTTCTAAATTTCGAGATTCAAACAATATCTTTGATTATAAATTTTATATTGTATATAAAAATAATAATTCTCTTTGTTTTATAAAGAATTATTTGATTTGACTTGGGACAGAGTTTAAGAGTATAAAGAAGACTTTTGTATCTTGTGGTCCTAAATTAAAATTAGGTTAAATGTAGAAAATTGTCTTTTGATCTTGTGGCCTTAAATATGTCACGTGAAAAACTGATTTTAATATATTATCAAAAAAGAAATAGGTCATTCTTTTTTAAACAGATTAAAAAAAAAAGAAAATGTTCTTTCTGCTACGAAGAAAGTATATTATTAGGTATAGAGTAAGACTTGGATTACTAGTAAACGCTTCTTCAAAAATGACCTTCTTGAGTTTTCAACTGTTTTCGTCATTAAAATAGCCTTTTGTCGCTCTCCTGAATAAAAAAATTACTATCAGACCGCTTACGATATAAAATAATAATTGTAATGAAAAAACAATTCCACTATTACAAGTGGCAAAACTTGGCAATTTTCGAAAGTTTATTAAATTACACATTGGTCCCTTTTGTAAGATCTTTTTTTCAAATCACACCCATACTTTTTCCTTTACTTCATTTCTTTCCTCATAGTAGTAGAATCTTCTTCTTCACTATTTCATGCCATTTGCGATATTCTCGTCTTTTCTACGCAAAACCCATTTCAAATATCGTTACAAAATACCCAAATCACAATTCAAATTAACAAAATTGAAAGATTTTGTGGGATTCTTGATTTTGATTAAGAATCAAAATCATTGAATTTTCAGATTTTGTGAATCATGGAGTTTGAGAAATTTGTTCAGAAAAGAAGAGAAAAAGGGAATTAATTTGATGTTTTGTTGGATTATTGATTGATTGATAATTGAGTTGTAACATAAACCCATATTACCAAAGTTGAGAATTTTACTATAAGAAGAAAAAAAAGTGAGAAAAAGGGTGTGTTTGGTTTGATGTTTTGTTGGATTATTGGTTGATCATTGAGACTCATATTTTGCGAAGTTGAGAATTTTACTATTAAGAAGAAGAAAGTGAGAAAAAGGGTGTGTATTGTTGGATTATTGGTTGATCATTTTGAGACTCATATTTTGCGAAGTTGAGAATTTTACTATTAAGAGGAAGAAACTGAGAAAAAGGGTGTTTTTGGTTTGTTGTTTTGTTGAATTATTTGTTGATTAGAGAATCCACAGAGACCCAAATCACTATTTTAATCTAGGGACTCTGTGAGTTTTGCAAAGTTGCCTAAAAGAGAGAAGAAAGTGAGATAAGGAGTAGGGATTTTGTTGAAGATTTTGGTGGTTGTTAGTTGATCAAAGAATACCCTTTTGATCAAAATGGAATTTTGATTTTTGCAAATAAAAAATATGGGAAGTGCTCATCACCGTTTCCATTATTCTTCAAATAGTGAAAAGTAAGATTCCTTAAGCACTTCTTTCTTTGCTTGTGCATTGTTAGTTGGTATATAATGATGGGTCCTGAGTTTGTTTATCCTTATTTTAGGCTTCTAATTAACACGTAATAGTTGATTATACTTGAATCTTTTTGGTTATGAGTTCCTTCGCTTTCATCCTTATTGTGTTGTTTGGAGTTCAAGTTCATGCCCTGTAGGAATGGTTTGAGTTATTGGTTGATCATAGACTACCCTTTTGATCAAAATGGAATTTTGATTGTAAATAAAAATATGGGAACTGATCTGGCTGTGTTATGTTGTTTTCACAACTATATCCTTCATTCTTAAACAGTGAAAAGAAAGATTCCTCAACCCCTTCTTTCTTTACTTGTCCATTGTTGGTTGGTATATGATGGGTCCTGAGTTTGTGTATCCTAACTTTAGGTTTGTGATTATTGCATAAAAGTTGGTTCTGGTTGAATTTTCTTAGTTATGATTTCCTTGGGCAAACGAGTTAAACTCATTGTTGTTGGTGTTGCTTGCTGTTAAAGCATCGTGAGGGAGTTGGTACAATATGGAGAATGATAATTGGGTCAATAAGCCGGGGAAGGCACAGAAAGGTTTGAAGTTGAGGAAGATGATGAAGTGCTTCTGCTCGGGCGAACAATTACAGATAGGTGACATGGTTCCATTGCCTGATTCCCCTGCGACTAAGGATTACAGAGCAAGTGTCCGCTCATCAAGAGCCGGAGATATTGGCAATATTGAAGAGGCTGAATCATCTTTGCGCGAGAGTGGTGCTTTGAATTATGAGGTATCATATTAAGTTTGTCTTTTGTATAGTGTCCCATCTCATCCTAAACCCTTTTAAGTTTCAATGGGCATGAATTACAATCATTATTCATCTGACAGTTAAACTTCATCTAATTTCTAGGAAGCAAGGGCATTGCTTGGAAGATATGAGTACCAAAAGGGCAACATAGAGGCTGCTCTACATGTGTTTGAAGGGATAGATATTGCCTCAGTGACTACTAAAATGAAAGTCACCCTTGCTAATAGAGCTCAAATTCAAAAGAGACGTTCCCAGAAGTATGATACACCACCAATGTCCATACATGCTGTGAGTTTGCTCCTGGAAGCAGTCTTTCTCAAAGCAAAATCATTGCAGGCTCTTGGGAGGTTTAAAGGTTAGACTATACATGGTAGTTTTTCAGTTCACTTTTTGTAATAAACATTATTTCATACATGGGTTCAAACATAGCAAAATGAATTACAACAATTCATACAGCTAAAACTGACAAGCTTTGCATTGAGGCGTAGTAGTTATGTGCTAATATCTATGTTTACGTGTTCCAATATGATCATTTTCAGTTAGGACATCTTTGTTCAGTATGCTAAAGTTAGTGTAATGTTATCAATCGTGTTTCTTTGCAAATTTTTTTATATGTAACAGTTTAGTTCAACTATTTTGAAGTTTGCACTGGCTCTCTTACATTACTGTATCCATCCTCAGGGCCTTCCATGGGACAATGTGAATTATTATCTATTTTTGTTGATTGCTAGTGCTTGTTTAATTCATATTTTGGTCTTATTTATTCTTTTAAATCACATGTTAATTTCTCCAAAATGATCTGGTTAAATTCATACTTTGGCTTTTTAGCTAGATATCTCACTTGTAGCCAGGGTAGTATGAGAATAGCATATGTTACTTCTAAGAAACCTTACAAGCATACATCTCTCCTGAAGCAGTTCTTTTTACATTCTTACGATGCCGTGTTTATATGTGATTGTGAATACAGCGTGATTAGGAATTACATGGACCCGAAAGCTCATAAAGTGCAAGTTTTCGACATCTTCATCTGATACATTCTCCAAATATTTTTGCAGAAGCTGCTCAATCATGCACTGTTATTCTGGATATTGTTGACTCTTCATTACCAGAAGGCTTGCCTGAAAACTTTGGTGCTGATTGTAAATTGCAGGAGACTCTCACCAATGCTGTCGAGCTGCTTCCTCAATTATGGATACTTGCAGATGCTCCGAAGGAAGCAATTATGTCATACCGCCGAGCTCTTCTTCGTCAGTGGAATCTTGATGTTCAAACTAATGCAAAGATTAAAAAAGAGTTCGCGATTTTTCTTCTATACAGCGGATATGAATACAATCCCCCTAGTCTCAGATTCCAAATGGACAGTTCATTTGTTCCCCGAACCAATATAGAAGAGGCCATTCTTCTCTTAATGATTTTATTGAGAAAGGTTACTCTACAAATTATAGAGTGGGATCCTTCGATTTTTGACCATCTCTCTTACGCATTATCTATCTCAGGTGGCCTATGGGCTCTGGCAAACCAAGTAGAAGAGTTGCTTCCTAGGAATATAGATCTGTGTGAAAGGCATCATATGTTAGCTCTCTGTTATTACGGAAAAGGAGATAATTTCACCGCCTTGAACTTGTTGCGGAAACTATTGAGTAGTGCCGAGGATCCCACTTGTGTTCCAGGTTTGTTACTGGCTTCAAGAATCTGTGCTGAAAGCTTAGAATGTGCAGA